CAGGGCGAAGGGGTGAAAACACGGGCTGGGGGCTCTAGGAACCGGAGAGCCTGTGGGGAGATGGATGGGGGAAGGGGCTGGGGCCAGGAGAAAGAGCAGGTGAGAATTCCCAGCGCGTGTGTGACAGCGCAGAGCTACCACCCGCAGCCAGGATGCAGCGAGGCCTTTGTCAGTGGCTGCAGGGCGTCCCGTGAAGCCGCCTCCTTCCAGAGGCCAGGGTTGGATGTGTCACTTGCCTCTATCACTTAGGAAGGGGGCTAGTTTATTTTTCTGTCAGTTTTGTTTGTACCCTTTTATGACCGTACAAATGACTAGGGTACTGCACGGATACAAAATACGGATCCATAGCTGTAAAAATGAGCAGCAGATATCCACAACCATATCTGTGGAAGCGGATATCCGAGGATATAAAGCAGATATCTGTGGATTTGCAGGGCCCTACAAATTATCGGTTCTGAGGATGTTTTGTTACTAACAGGCTGGATTGGCTCTAAAGATGTAATAGTGTAGTCTATTAACCGATAAGCAAAAGCTTGTCAGTTAATGCTACAGACTACACGCATCCTTCCCCTCCCCCCACTCCCCAACACTTGCCAATAATTTTTTTAGCAGGCTGGCCAGTAGCCTAAGTCCTGCCTTGTGCCAGATCAAGGATCTACCCCTGCTGTGGCTCTACATTTAAAGTGTATTAAGAGCCAAGTGGGCAGGTAACCTGGCTCAGTTCTGGTTCACGCCAGGTCCAGGAACTCAGACCCCTCTCCTTCCGGACAGGAGCTGCTGCCACCCAACGCTGTGGGGTGACAGGCAGCCAGTTTGTGAAGGGAGCTGTTTTTTAAACTGGCTTCCCTCACGGACCAGCTCCTGCCTGGTGCCCTACGCTGCTGTCTCTTATACACAGGCAGCAGCACAGAGTGTCAGGAGGTTCTTCTGGAGTAGGGCTGGAGCGCACTGGTTGCCAGCCCCACCCCTAGGGACTATAGAATAGTCAAGTAACCAATAAGAATTCATGAGGTTAATCGACTATTCAATTAACTGATATTTAATACCCCTAATCCGCTCCAATGATGTGAAATCCTCTCCATTTTGGTTAATTCTTAGTCTCCCATACGTTATCTGTATAATGCAAGCACTGTAGATCCACTGAAGATTTCTTGTGCAAGAGCAAAGTACCACTTGCCACAACTCCCATAAATGCAACAATTATCCTATCTCCACATCCCTATTTCTGGTTTTGTCATTGATTCCCCTACTTCTAAACTTTAAAATTGTTTACCATCCATAAAGTCCAGATTAAGAAATTTATTCTGACATTAGATGATGGTGAATTGAGTTACAGAGTGCTAAGAAAGGAAGTGCTTGGCTTCTAACAAATCTATTTCAAGCTCTGAGTTTATGGTGTTTCTATAAAACAAATATGATAACACTAACCTCACGGGTGTGATCTGAGATATTCAGTTATCATGCAATTAGTGCTCCTCATCTGTATGGAGTTTTCACAAGATGTGTATCAATAAATAAGGAGGAACCTTTCCCTTCAATGGATGTGGCATGCAATTCTTCCCTATGGGCATAGGGATTGTCCTCTAGTCACAAGACAGATGGTGAGGAATCTTCCTCTTTTAGGATTACCACTGTACCCCTCATACATCAGCTGATTTGGTACCTTGCATAGAGATAATTCATTCCATTCCTGTACGTTCCATGCTTACAGCTCCTCTTTCATGTTCTTATATTTTGCAGGGTCTGTTCTTGCAGTCTTCAATGGCGAGTGACTGTACAGATCAATCATGAGGACCAGCCCTCGCAGGCCTCTGATTCTCAAGAGACGAAAACTGTCCCTCCCAAATCGCAATTCATCCAACACCCCAGCGAGAGATGAACCAGATGGGCAAAGTAAAGGAGCCCCCAAGCATGAGCAGGTCAGAGAGGACAAATCCAGGGACAGAGTGGAGGGTAGCACCCAGAAATTCCCAGCATGAATAAAGATCATTAATCACCCTACCATGGCAAACACCCAGGTGGTAGTCATCCCTCCCGATGCTGACATTCAGAGTATCATCGAGGCTCTGACAGCCAAAGGGAAAGAATGTGGCAGCAATGGGCCCAACAAGTTCATTCTCATCAGCAGTGGGGGCAACTCACTCCCCACAGGCTCACCAGCAACTCAGCAGAAGCTCCAATCAAATGATGAGACAAGCACAGCAACAAAGGGAGCCACAGCAGCAGATTGTCAGGATGGAGAGAAGAACATTGGACAAAACCCTGGGATTATGGAAAGGCCGGTACTGTGGCATCCACAAGTCAATTCCATGGAAGGACAAGAACAGGAAGGAAACAGTACGTAGGCTGTACCCTTCTGTTGAACTCTTCAGCACAATGTGGAGTGGGTAGAGATGGGGGATTGATGCTCTGCTTGATATAGGAGAGCGCAGTGGTGAAAATGTGAAATTTCAAGCAACCCAGGTGATTAATATATTAGGTTTATATGTACGCTGATAGGTGTTCAAATCCTGAGTCCAAGTAAAAGTCAGTGATTTTAGGGCCTGGGGTTTTTCTGAGAGTTGGTAAGGTATGTTACAGGTCAGGATTTTGGTATACAGAAAGTCCCCAGCTTATGAAAGGGTTGTGTTTGAAAAGTTTGTAAGTTGGTTATTTGAAACTCAGAGTGCATTTTCCCACAGAAACAATATTCTGAATGGTGGTTAGGTGCCCAGGCTAGCCCACAAAAGCCTATGTGACCCATAATGTAGCTGAAATACTATAAATTTGCAATGAAAAATTATAGAAATAGTTTTTCATTTAACCTTGAATGCTGCTGCTTGAGGAAAGGAGGATGAGGAGTTAAGTGGAGATTTGAAAGGGAACTTCTGGGCATCCCTCAACTGTACTCCCTCCCCGGTCTCTGTGCTGGCTCCTGCAGCCATCCCCATCTGCCAGCTTTCCCTCCCCTCTCATGCTCAGTGCCTGCTCTGGCAGCCCCCATCCTCCCAGCCATTCCTCCCTTTCCTCCCCACCCCACTCCCCTACCCTCTGGGAGCTGCACCTAGCTCCCACTCACATGGAGGAGGAATGCAGAAGGAGAACTCCAGAGGAGTAAGTGCTGCTTCTCTTCAGTTGCCAGCTGCACAGTCACCCCCTATTCCTACAGAGTCCTCCGTCTAGCACTTGCGCTATTTGCTGCAACCTGTGCCTCCTGCCTGTTCCCTGAGGCTGCAGGTGCGTTTGTGTTTGCAAGTGCAGATTTTCGTAAGTCAGATATTTGTAACTTGGGAAGTGCCTATAGTGACAGAGTGGGAAGTGAGGGGGGGTCAGAACTACAAGAGAGAGGATTTTTCAGCCTGGGCCTAGAGATGTTAAAGGTTAACCAGTAAACATATACCTTACCAGCATGCTTATCTGTTGACCCCATAATGGGGGCCTGGCTGGAGGCGTGCAGGAGCAGCTGCCACAGCGAGCTGCCGGGTCCAGAGCAACCCGCACTGCCTGCAGTTAAATCATTTAACTGCTTAACTATTCTGGGCTGTTTTTACATCCCTAGCTGGGACAAAGATGTTTGGGTCATTGGCTAATAAATATCTTGTGATGTTTTTAAGCACTATTCTCAGCAGTCACTCTGGGCCAGGGCAGTTGAAGGTTCAGATCCAATTTGGGATTTTTAGGTTTGGAGCCTTTACGGCAATTGGGCTGATCTGCAGCTAAATCAGGAGCTCTGTCTAGATCTGCAAGATGCTTTTAGCATCAGATCTCCACCTTGTGTCTCTAGCTAGAGATGGGGAGCTTGAGCCCTTTTGAGGAGACCTTTCTAGGATCTCTCTCTAAGCATCTGGAATGGCAGCAGGTGAATGAGCAGGGCTCTCCATTTGTTTCCCTGCAGGCAGTGGAGAGGCAACAAGCAGCGGCTTGGATAACAGTTTGACTAACATCCAATGGCTAGGGAAGATGAGCTCCGATGGGCTGGGCCCCTGTACTGTGAAGCAAGAGATGGAGAAAGAGAACAAGACACCTGTGCAGGAGAGGATGAAGGTAAGTGGGGAGATGTGGGGCACATAACAGAGGAAACTTCTGGAAACTGAAAACAGGACATATGGGTGAGAACACTCAAAGAGAGCCCAACTGACAAAATCTGTGTAACCTGAGCCTCTAGTTGATCTTTGCAACAGGGTCCTGAAGTTAAGAGGATCTTCCTGGGAATTTTCCTGGGCCCCTGCAAGTTTCATACTGTTATCTCCTTTTTTCTTCCAGACTGAAGAAGACTCCATTGCTCCCACTGCTACCGCCTCCTTGTGGCAGGACTCAGTATCAGAACGACCCCCTTACTCCTACATGGCCATGATTCAGTTTGCCATCAACAGCACTGAGAAGAAGCGCATGACCTTGAAGGATATTTATACCTGGATTGAGGACCATTTTCCTTATTTCAAATATGTGGCCAAGCCAGGCTGGAAGGTAACAAGTTCTGCTGGGGGTGCACCTGATCCCACCCCTACGTGTGGGCAACAGTGTCTTGCAGGGGTGCTAGAACAATTTGTGTAGTGGGGGTGCTGAAAACCATTGAACCAAACTGTAAACCTCATTATAATGGAAACCACTTCCAGCCAAATTGCACAGCATCATCTCTACTTCTAGCACCTATGGAGTCTTAGGGCTTGTCTATATTTCCCACTAAATTGGCACTGCTGAGATCTATGCAGCAGTGTCAATTTAGCGGCTCTGATAAAGACAAGCTAAGTTGATGGCAGAGTGCTCTCCTCTACCTGTCTCTCTGCTCCACCTCCCCAAGAGCATCTCCTGTCAACACAGCGCAGTGTAGACGTTGTAACTTGAACATAGGTACATCGATTTCAGTAGTACTCTCACCGAAGTAGTGTAACTTAGGTGATTTACAACATTAGCAAAGACTCTCACTAGGGCAGTTCTCAACTCTCAAGCCACCTGCGGCCCAATTAGCATACAGCTGAGCCATGGCTGTGTGGTAAAAAAAATTTCACAATTTACTGCTCTGGTCTGGCAGAGGGCAGGCGCTTCCTTAGGGGTAGACAGCCTCTGAAGGGCTGATATTGGGCTGGAGGTGGAAGAGTGGATCTGAGGGGAGAGAGGGACCTCTGGGAACTTGGCATTTGCCCCAAGTTTTATGTGGAACACTGCTCCTAGACCCCCTTCTCGGATCCTGGCTGTCTGGCCCTGTAGGTTGGGATCCGAGTCCCGGCTCCTGCCTGGCCAAGAGGGTTGGTGTCCGCACCTGAGGCTGCCAAGCCCCGCAACACCAGGATTTGGGGATCATACTGCACAGCCTGCTCCCAGGGCTCCTGGCCCTGGCCCACTGAGAAAAAGCAATGGATATAGGTGACTGTAGGTACTTTTAGGGTGCGGGGCTATGGTTCTCAACCTACAACCCACATAATATGTTATGGGCCACAATAATTAATAGATTGAGAACCACTGTTCTAGGGGGATACTTGGGTGGAGAATTGCTTTTCATTTGCATCCAAAGGAACAAGCAACCTGTGAAACAGGAAGGAAAATAGTTTGAAACTAAGGGCCCCCCTCAATTCCTGATGTTCCCTTTTCCATTCCAAACACCTCAGCATACTCTCTTGACTTCCTTCAGGCAGGGCAGAGGGCTCACTGGTTACTGGACTGGCATCTGAAGTATCTTTGATGCACTATGCAGCTTTAATGATAGGGATATATCTGGGTACCGGGTGAGAATGCAGGACCGTGGTCTGCCAGGGGGAACTTTCCCTGTCTGGTTTGTAGTGTCAGGTCCTGCATTTGCTTGGTTTTTCAAAAACATTAAGGTTTTTCCTCTCCACCCAGAACTCAATTCGACACAATCTATCCCTTCATGATATGTTTGTACGGGAGACGTCTGCCAATGGTAAGATCTCCTTCTGGACCATCCATCCTGAGGCAAACCGCTATCTGACACTGGACCAAGTGTTCAAGGTGAGTGGCTCCTGGGAAGGAAAACAGGTAGTCTTCCCAAATCTTGAACGTCAGGACCTCTGACAGCACTTGATTTCAACAGAGGGATGAAGTCCCCTTGGCATGTGGCTTCCGTTCTCTATGGCTACATCTAGACTGCATCCCTCTGCCAAGAGAGGGATGTAGATTAGGCACTGCAAAAGTGCAAATGAGCCCAGGATTTAAATATCCCGGGCTTAATTTGCATACTCACGTTCGGATGCTGTGTCGATCATACGCCCTTTCAAAAGTGAAAGTAAAGTCAAGCCGTGGCTCTGCCGACAACGGGAAGCTGAAAAAGCTCCCCGCTGTCAGCAGAGCCACGGGTAGACTTTACTTTCACTTTCGAAAAGGCGTGTGATTGACACAGTGCCTGAATGTGAGTATGCAAATTAAGCCTAGGATATTTAAATCACGGGCTCATTTTTGCACTTTCGCAGTGCCAAATCTACATTCCCTCTGCCGGCAGAGGGGTGTAGTTTAGACACCCTAGATGTTGGACTAAGTCACTGTTAACTTTAATAATGGCAGGTTTTCTGTTTGAAGTGGAAAGTAACATGAAGGGCTAGAGCAACTTTGAGGCGAAAGGACTCTCCAGGTGCTGTGTAGCAATGTGATTACTGAAAGAAGGACGCTAAGCTTTCAACTAGGCCTGTTGAGTAATTGCAGTTAACTCATACGATAAATTAAAAAACATTAATCATGATTAATCAGGTTTTTATTTAAAATACAACACAGAATATAACTGTACAGTGATCACTATATTTTATTACAAATATTTGCATTACATAAATGATAAACAAAAGAAATTGTATTTTTTCAGTTCAACTTATAAAAAGTACTGTCGTGCAAACTCTTCTGTGAAAGTGCAACTTACAAATCTGGATTTTATTTTTTTTGGTTACATAACTGAACTCAAAACCAAAATAATGTAAATATTTAGCGCCTACAAGTCCACTCAGTCCTCTTTCTTGTTCAGCTAATCACTTGGAGAACCGAGGTTGTTTACATTATGTGAGATAATGCTGCCTGCTTCTTATTTATAGTGTCCCCTTAAAGTGAGAACAGCTGTTTACATGGCACTTTTGTAGCTCTCATTGCAAGGCAATTATGTGCCAGATATGCTAAACATTTGTATGCCCCTTCATACTCTGGCCACTATGTCAGGGCATACTTCAAGCTGATGATTTTTGATTAAAAAAATGCATTAATTACATTTTACTGAATTCCTTGGGGGGAAATAGTAGGTCTCCTGCTCCATTTTACCTGTATTCTGCCTTACATTATGAGCCAGCACATGCTCGTTCTAAGAACACTTTCACTGCAGATTTGACAAAACACAATGAAGATTCCTAGGTGAGATTTCTAAAGATAGCTGCAACACTTGACCCAAGATTTAAGAATCTGACATGCCTTCCAAAATCTTAGAGGAAGGAGTTGTGGAACATTCTTTCAGAAGTCTTAAAAGAATAACATTCTGATTCAGAAACTACAGAACCCAAACCACCAAAAGAAAATCAACCTTTTGCTGGTGGCATCTGACTAAAATGATGAAAATAAACATGTCTTGTTCCACACTATTTTTGATCATTGCCAAGAAGAACCCATCATCAGCATGGATGCATGTCCTCTGGAATGGCGGTTGAAACATGAAGGGACATATGAATCCTTCACACATCTGTCACAAAAATATTTTGCAATGCCAACTACAACAGTGCCACATCAATGCCTGTTCTCACTTTCAGGTGACATTGTATATGAGAGACAGCGTTATCTACTGCAAATGCAAACAAATGTTGAGCAATTGGCTGAACAAGAAGTAGGACTTGAGGGCTCTAAGTTTTTCACTATATTATTTTTGAATGCAGTTATTTTTGTGCACATTAGTCAGTTCTACTTTCAGATTAAGATATTGCACTACAGCACTTGTAATGGGGGAATTGAAAAATACAATTTATTTTGTTTATTTTATGGTGTAAATATTTGTAACTAAATAAATATAAAGGAGTACTATACAATTTGTGTTCTGTCTTATAATTTAAATAAATATATTTGAAAATATAGAAAACATCCACAAATATTTAAACAAATGGCATTGTTTAACAGTGAGATTAATCACCATGAAGTTTTGTAATTGCTTGACAGTCCTACTTTCAACTAGCCACTTCCCAAAGGCCTGATGGAAATTCGCATGGCAGCTAATGGAAAGACTCCTGTTGACTTAAATGAGAGTTTGGTTGGGCCTTTCATGTACTGCAAGGTTGTGTTTAACCTGTCGAGGGCTATTAAAAGGATTCTCTCTGTGAAAGGAATGGAGACCTTCTCCTGTGGCAGTGATTGTCAGAGCAGGCAGGCTGGACGCTTTCTATGATCTATCCTTGGTGGGTGGGCATGTTCAATAGCTGGCTGCTCTGACTTAAGAATTTTGTGCAAGGGTTAATGTCCCATATTTTTTTTCCCCTTTGGTTGGTAACGCCCTGTTATTTTTCTCCCCTCTGATGCCTTGCTGCCACCAGCCACAGGATGCGGGGTCACCAACGTCGCCTGAGTACTCTGAATCAGTAAGACTTTCCCTCTGGCTCGGGGCTTGGGCTGCTTTTCCTTTTGCCAGTCATTGCAGAAAGGATGCTTGGGGAAGGGAAATGAGTCACTGTAATTGCCAGTCCATTAGCTCCTTGCACACCTTTCTTGGGGAAGGAGACATGATACAATGGAGGGCCAAGTTTCTAACTGCTGCAGAAAATACACTAGCTGTTGGAAGACGGGATAATGACAGATGGGTATTTGCAACCCACATAATAGCTGCATGCACATATTTATAGGTGCAGTGAGGTACCAGCACCTGAATATTGGCCTGAAATGTGTCTCCAGAGAACAAATCCAGCCAGAAGTTTCATGTACAACCTTGCCTGGCAGCAGCTCTTCTTCTGGACAGTAGTTTGAGGAAGGGCAAATTCTCTGTGCACTACTTTCTTCCCCCTAGAACATGGCAACACCATGACTCTTGGCAGGATGGAAGCTGATGCTGCCTTTTTCACCTCCAACAGTGTAGTGCTAACAGGTGTGCAAACAGCTAGCCAGACTTGCCTCCATTTCCTTTCCAACCCCATCCCTCTTTCCACTTGCTTAGATCTTCAGTTCCTTTTTTTCCTCTGCTGGTCCTCTGTTGAGCATTTTTGGCTTTGGCTTGTACAAAAGACAATACATGCTATAAAGCTGTACTGTTCACTTTTCCTCAGGCAGTGAGGACACCAAAATCAGATCATTTCTTCTGAAGCAGAGACCTCAGCTAGAGAAGCTCCAACATGTCAGCTCAGCCTCTACAAGGCTTGGGTGGCAGCTGGCAGAGGGATGGCATGAGCATGCAATGGCAGGTGGCACTCATACGCAATTTTTCTGTTGTCAGTAGCTCAGCAAAGGTCTCTGGATCCAGGTTCCTAAGCGAAGCAATCAGAGATGAGTTCTTCTCTTTAACTCTTTTCCCTCCCCCCCCCCTCTTTCTTATCCCATAATGACCATAGCAGCAAAAACGACACATTGCAGAACTCCAGAAGAACACAGGGGGCAACAGCAACAACAAAACTGAGCCGCAGAATGCACGTGAGTGTGTGCATCTGTCTCGGACAGAGAGAGAGCCAGTCCCCTAACCAGGGTGATGGGCGCTTGATCCTGTACTGCCATTTCCAGTCCATAGGAAAAGAAATGGAAATTGCTGTCCAGCTTTGCCTGCTTGCAGGCTTGCCACGGCCGCTCCTGTTTGACAGGTTTGGAGCTGAGGGCAGGGCTGCTGCACCTGAGAGAGAAGACATCTCGGGGGGGAAAACTTGATACAGGCATTCAAAGGGAGCAGGAGCTGAGCTCTGTTGGGAGCAGTATCCCAACCTAAGACACCTTAGTTGGGGGGTTTGTTCACCTGTGCTCTGGGGGTTCTGCTGGGTTTCAGCTCAGGACATGCATCCCCATAACTATGCAGAAAAGGCAAGGAAGCATGAACCCTTTGTTATTTTGGGAATGGTTCAGGATTCTCAGCTCGTGGCGGTCTAGTGCCTGGGGTGCGAGGGAGGAGGTGAAGAGACTCCCCGAAGCAGGACTCTAGCTTATCCATTCTCTTCCCTTCCAGGCCGAAAGATGAAACCTTTGCTTCCTCGTGTCAGCTCCTACCTCGTTCCAATCCAGTTCCCTGTGAGTCAGTCTCTCATCCTCCAGTCCTCCCTGAAGGTACCTCAGCCTATGGCCCAGGGAGCCTCCCTCAGTGGCTCAGAGGCTATCCGGAGCAGTAAACGTGTACGCATTGCTCCAAAGGTCAGTGTTTCTGCTAGCCATGGGCTTCTGTGGTGCAGTCTCCCCTGATCTGCACACGGTGTTCTTGCCTACCCTCCGTACTGTTATCACAAATGTTCATTCTTGCCGCTGGGGGAATTGGAGCTGGCTGGCGCTTGGCTGCCCCTGCCTTCCATCCCCCATTCCTAAGACGACTGTGCTTTGCTCTAATTGCCTTATCATGGGTTGACTGTTTTTTAGTCTACACAGGGATTCTTCTCTCACAGTGTGAACCGACTCTCTAGTGAATCAGAGTTGGGAGCAGAGTGGATTCGTTCCTTTTTTCAAGCTTTCATTCAGTTCCGAATTGAACCAGCTTGCGCGCTCAACGCATTTTTGGTCTCCCTTTGCATTTTGAACAGTGTGATTTTTGCCTCTTTCAGAAGCACTTAGCTCTCCTTACTACCTGCACCCTCCATTCACAACACTCCTTGGGTTCAGAGTGCCCCTCCAGCAGTACTGCTCTCTAGGGTCGCCATCTGTTGGTGCTGTGCTAAGTTCCTTCCCATCTGTTCTGCTAGCTCTTCTCTCTCTAATCCTGTTATTGCTACTGACTTCAGTGATGTGCATTCTTTTCCTTCACTCTTCCTGTGCCCAAAACCCTACTGCCCCTCTCCTTCCTGCTATCTTTCCTGCCCTATGATTTACTCACTGCAACGTGTCTAACCTCATTTCTATGCTTTCTGTGTAGGTGTTGCCATCCATTGACGAGCCATCCTCATTGTTGCCTGCGGAGCCTATGAAGGAGGAGAGTCACTGTGAGGAAGGGCTGTCCCCATTTGCTCCAACCCAATCTGTCAAGGAGAACGCCCAGCTTGGTGGCATACCAACCTCTATCCCTGCAGCTCTGTGTATAAAGGAGGAAAAGGAGGACTCCTATCCTGATAAATGGCTGTCCTCATTCCCCCCAGCCTTGTCTATAAAAGAAGAAGTGGCACAGTCTGATGAAGAGCCAGGCCTGTTGCTCCCAGTGCCATGTGTGAAGCAGAAGAAACACTTCACCATGCTGAAGTCCCCACCGCGGGGCGTATCTGACACAGTGATTATAAAGAGGCGGGAAATGGGCAGGTCCAGAAGGAAACAGCACCTAGTGCTGCCTTGCTCAGAAGAGCCAGTCCTGGTTATGCCAGAGAGCACTGGCTCTGACTCCTTCAGGCTGACGTCTGACCTTTCCTTACTGTGGGAAACCCAATCTCTGGAGCTCAGCTGCTCCCAGGAGGAGGGTGGCCCCTTTAAAACACCAGTCAAGGAGATGTTCGGCAAGCTGCCAGTTTCATCTACCCCCAGCAAAGCTGTAACTGTTACTCCACCAATGGGGGGTGCTGACTCTTGGAGACTTGCACCTGTTGCTAAGGAAAACAGCGAGTTGGACTTCAGCCCCGTGAGAATCCCTCAGGTACCATTCACACCCCTCCAAGAGAACTTGGATTTGCTGGGCTTCAACGGCACTCCCCTTAAAAATCCTTTGTTTGACTCCCCTCAACAACTTCTCCAAACAGAGTCCAATGACATGGTTTCCGGGCCCCTAACAAGCTCTCCTGCTTCTACTCCTGAGTTCACCAAGCAATCCTCCCCAGAACTGCCAGTCTCTGGCCTTCCTGAGAATCAGTCTCTCATGGAGGGTCTGGTCCTGGACACTATGAACAACAGCCTGAGTAAAATCCTACTGGATATCAGCTTTTCTGGCCTGGAGGATGATATCCTGGGACCAGAGATGAGTTGGTCTCAGTTTATTCCTGAACTGAGATAGGCTGTGTTTGGCTTGTTCCTAAGCTGTAATGGAAACTGGGTTCTACTGAGACTTGCTCAGATGGTTATGCAGGGGCCCATCATGTGGTTTTGACTTATTTCCATTGGAAATACTGGGCTGTACTGAGATCTGCTTGGCTGGAAAACAGACAGGCCCATTGGCTGCTATGAGCTCATTTATGAGCTGCAATAAATATTAGTTGGGGACAGGCCAAAACCTATTGGTTGGTCTTGCCTCAGGTCTGTGTTAGTGGAAAATCAGAGTCCCTTGTGAAAAGGTTACAGAGAATGTCTCCCGATGGATGCTGAATCCTGTCATCGAAGGGGTTGGAAGAGATGGACATAGGCCCTTCCAAAGTACAGCTACTGGAGGGAGAAAAATTCCTAGCCTTTCCTGGCTCTGTCCTCAACAACTCCCTCATACAATTCCCTTCCTCTCACTTTGCTTCATTTTCCTTAGGTGTCTTGCCTGTAGGGTTCATGACTGTAAATACTGTACATTCCTTAAATTAGCTTTTAATTATAAATGTCACTTTATTCTTTTAGACTTTTTATGGGAATAAAAATGGGTGGTAAAGGGCATGATTTGAAGCATTGTCCCTGTTTCTTCCCCCTGAACCAGGTTGAATGCCTTAGAGGCCATTGGTCTTCCTTTCACTTCAGAAACACGTTGACATGGGGCATGCTGAATGTTGTTGGGGTAGAGACTGAAACATCCCTCTGCATGTGTCTGTCTCTTCCAACTGCAATGTAACAACTTTTTATGCTACAGTCCTACTTAACCCCTTTGCTTGGGTTTTGTCTCACAGCAATGTCATCCAGGTTGTGGTGGTAAAGAGCAGTTGCTCTGAAATCTAGGTCTCTTCTTGGGTGCCACTCACCAGCTCCCTGACACTGTACACTTGGAGACCTAGCTGCATTTATTGCTGCAGCTCAGACTGACATTTAGCCAAATGCTTCAAGCTGCTCTAATCAGTCCCACCAATTCAAGAGGCTGAGAGGACTTGTAAGATGAATGTTAAAATCTTCACTTAAAAATATGGAGTCTCTTGAAACTCACTTGTGTATCTTCCATTGCCGTGTGTAATAGGTGTGAGTCCTCTGGAGTTTATGTAATAACAAGGAAAGTGCCCTGGAAGGGGTTTAGATGACACCTCTGTTCAAAAACAAAATAAGACACAAAAGTACCTCAACCAAACTGTTTCTATTTCCTGTCTCCTAACTGGGGGTTGTATTGCTGGGCCACATGCTGCCAGTGCTCAAGGGGCAGAATCAGCATGGTTATTCTAACTTTCTTGGTGTACCAACTTTTTAACAATTCACTCAAGGTAGACAATGCTATGTCTATTTCTCTTGCCTGCTATTCATGCTCTAGCACTGTGACTCAGTTTTGGAAGCAAGTCTCTAGACTAATTTTGGTGGTATATGAGGTGGAAAAAATTTGGGGGGAGGGTGGGGGAATGAGTTGGGTTACACCCTGTCAATGTTTGAGAAAACCTTAGAGTTATGGAAGACTCCTGGAATCTGTTCTGCTAGCTGTTCAGAGCTAAAGACCCTGACAGTAAGTTGATGCTCCTAGCATTTGTCCTCCTCAGCTGTGAGAACATAAGGATCATGGTTTCATACAGTCACCATTCAACTTCTCCCTATTTTAAATACTACTTAGGGT